ATGGATGAAGCCCATACGTCATAGCGATCATACATATGGTCTTTAGGAACCTAGGTGTGTTACTTAGTCTTTCTGAGGCCACAGCTTTCTCCTTGGTGGAATGGGATAATGATGTCTCTTAGGGTTATCATATGAATCAAAGGTTATTAATATGAATTAAAGATGACTGGTTAACCTGCAGTCATTGCACGGTGTGTATAAAGTCTATTACCATAATTTTCACCATTTTTGTTATAATTATAGTCATGATTTGCAGTGGGTATTAGAAAGCTCGGATACATTTTTTTAGTCGGTTATGGGGTTCTGTAACCTGGTGGCTTGAGCCACCAAGGTCTTGCTAGAAACACATTTACAATTATTAAATGCTCTAATGTTTCTGTGACAGAAGAGTTTGAAGATTAAGCTGTTTTCTCTTCCCCTGTGCTGCCCTTCTCCTTTCAGTGGTCACCGCCCTGATCCCTAGTGGTATATTATAAGCTTTCCAAAATTTGGATTTGGAGGGTAACTATTACACACACACACACACACACACACACACACACACACTATCATTGTTGACTAAAAACATAGAGCGAAAACTGTAGAAAAGTACAACTGTTGATTTTTTCTTTTTATTATTGTCTTTAAGTAGTTGTACAAAGGAGTTGCCATTTAACAAAGCACTTTATGAATACAATATATCTTGATCAATATCACCCCTTGCAATATTCTCACCCATTCTTTCACCCTTCTTCATTTTTTTGATGTTGTTTTAGTCGGTTGTAGAGCTTGAACTCAGGGCCTGGGCACTGTCCCTGAACTCTTTCGCTCAAGGTTAGTGCTCTACCACAGCTCCATTTCCAGTTTTTCAGTGGTTAATTGGAGATAAGAGTCTGGTGGAGACTGGCTAGCTTTGAAATGCAATCCTCAGATCTCAGCTTCCTGAGTAGCTGGGTTACAGGTATGAGCCACTGGTGCCCAGCACTCTTCTTAATTTTGTAGGATATAAATTGGTGATTTGAATGCATTTCTGATACATCTAGGACTGAGAGATGAGAAAGCTGAGAAAGAAAGCTCTTTTTTGTGACTATAAGGTATAATTACTCATCCTGACTTGCTCAGGATGTATTTGTTTAAGATGTTTCCATTAAGAATCTCATTATTAGGAAGCCTTTAATTGCCAGTTGAGTCCTGAAATACCAGCAGAGGCACTAGCCCATGGCCAAATCATTAAGACAAATGAAGACATATTAACATATGCTGGAAATAATTATACACATAGATTTAATTTGTCTCACTACTGGAAGAAAGTCCTGAGAGGACACCAAACACGCACTGAAGAACAGTACTGCAACTACCCGGTGACGCTGGCATTTTTCAGCACCTTAGGGAATGGACATCTGCCAAAAGAGAACACTGTACCCAAAAAGGCATCATATGTGAGGTCAGGTATATTACTGACATTTGATCACTTCGCTGGGACCAAAGACCTGACAGAAGTATGTAAGGGAGGAAGGATTTATCTTGCTCATGATTTCAGAGGATTTGGTCCATAGTTGCTTAGTCCTAGATGCTTGGGCAGAAACGTTATTCACGGTGGCATCAGCATTTGGAAAAGAATCTTCTTCATCTTATGATGGACAGGAAGCATAGAGAAAGACAGACAGACAGACAGACAAGACAGATAGGAGCAAGATATCCCTAAAGAGCCGCCACACTCCCTGCACTGACCTACTTCCTCCAATTAGGCAGTCTTCCAAAATAGCATCAACAGCTGAGGACCAAACCCCCAGTACACAAGCCTATGGAAGACATTTCAACCATAGTATCAGGGCTGGGGATGCGTATGCAGGTTATGGTTTTATGGGATTCTATTAAATTGGTGATTTTCTTGAGTCTTTTTTTTTTTTGGTGGGAGGAGGTGGAGTTTGGGGTTGTTTGTTTTGCTTTGTAATGCTAGGATATAACCACAGGACCATGTTAGGTAGGTAATCTGCCACTGAGCTATTCCCCAGTTTCCTAGTTATTCCCCCCCCCTCTTTCTTTCTTTCTTCCTTTCTTTCTCTTTCCTTCCTTCCTTCTCTCTCTATTCTTTCTTTCTCTATTCTTTCTTTCTCTCTCTATTCTATCCTTCTTTTCTTCCTTCCCTCCCTCCCTCCTTCCTTTCCTCCCTCCTTTCTTTCCCTCCCTCCCTCTCTCTCTTTCTCTTTCTTTCTTTCCTTCCTTTCTTCCTTTTCTCTCTTTCTCTCTCTTTCTCACTTTCTTTCTCTCTCTCTCTCCCTTCCTTCCTTCCTTCCTTTCTCTCTCTCTCTCTCTCTCTCTCTCTCTTTCTTTCTTTCTGATCCTAGGGCTTGAATTCAGGGTTAGGCACTGTCCCTGAGCCTTTTTGCTCATTGCTAATGCTCTATCATTTGAGCCACAGTTCCACTTATAGCTTTTAGGTTAGCTGAAGATGAGAGTTTCACAGACTTTCCTGCCGGGGCTGGCTTTGATTTCTGATCCTCCGAGCTTAGCCTCCTGAGAAACCAGGATAACAGGTATGAGCTACCAGGCACATAACTCTTATGTCTTTTTAGCCTATCATTATTTTTATAAATAACTATACTAATTATTTCTCAAAATAATAGACTGAAATAAGGAACTCAAAATAATGCTCTAAAATGAAAGAGAGTTTGTAATCATAAAATAGGCTTAGCAAAATTATATGTTGGCATTTTTGTTGGTGTATTTTTTTAAAAGATCTAAAAACAAGATCACTCATTCATTTTTGAGTTGTAGCCTTTCATTCCTCTTAGACATTTTTGTTGTTCTTGTTATTGTTCTTTGTGTATTGTTACTTTTAACTATCTTACCATCAGGAAAAGAAGTTCTCCTCAGTACACCAAATTCTGTTGTTTGTTTTCCAAATGAAGAAGAAAAATAGTATAAACTCCATCATCAAAGTTATGCTAGGAAGTGGCCAGACTGTCACAATATGCTCATCATTTCCTGGATACCGTTATATGCCAGAGGTTGGTGTCCAGGCCCTTTCCAATAGCTTAGGGTGGCTGCTAAAGAGACAAGAGTACCTTATCTCCAAATACTAATTTTCAAAGGAGCAATCCCCAGCCCAGGGAATTGTATATTTAGAATGGGAAGTGACTGGTTCTACTGCCACGATAGTGATAGCTTCCTTGTAGACTTTTCCTGCCCCTTGAATGGATACCATTACATGGGAAGAGCATAATTCCCAGTCACTAAAAGCATGGAGGATCCTTTCACCAGGAGGACCTGTGTGTCCTCATGGCTGTATGGGTTTACTACCCCCTCCTTCGGATTGAGTTGTGACAATCTCTTCCTTTATCTTGCTACCATGTGCTTGAGGCATTTCAGTCAACTATGGGACAATTCAAGCATGTTGAAAGTGCAAACTCATTTTCCCTGATCATCATGCGACTCAAAATGTAATCCTTGGTTTAGAAATCATGCAGAGTAGAGTCTACAACTTCCAAATGACAACTTGCTATAACAAAGATGCTTTATTTGATTCTCAGGTTCTCCCTGTAGAAATCTAGTTAGAAAGCATCATTTGACATATTTATACAAACATTCTTGACAGAAGGCAAAGATTTCTAGCAAATAGAGATGTGTGCCTTCTGACCCAATACAGCTGTCTATGATGTTTCAGACAAGCCTCTCAAGTCTAGGCAATCCTCAATTATTTTACTGGTAGCCAAAAACTATTTGAAGCTAGATCTAACAACATGGCTGCAAGTCTCTCTTCAATTGTTGTGATTCTGGAAATGGTTTATTTGTAACCTTTCAGACAGAAATTTTAAGATGTCTCACAACAGAAGCCATACACAATGAGGTTGTTTACCTAGAAGCAATTTGAAAATTACCAAAAAGGCAGGAACTACACTAGCCAGGATGGATAATGAAATTACTATGATTTATGATTGAATTAAGCCCTGAGACCATCTAAAGATCCAGCAGTAAGAGTGTGCATAAATGTGTTATGATACAGTCACGTGCCAGCATATTGTGTGGTCATGAAAATGATCCTCAGGTAAGTTTGCAACAATGAGGGGAAATGCTTATACTACAGTATCAAGGATAGAGTAGGCTAAAAACTATAACATTATCTCTTCTGTGTTTACCATAATTCGGGGGAAATATTGGAAAAGTTACCAGCATGTGGTTGTGACTTGTATTTTCATCTTATGTTTCTGTCTTTTTGAGGGTAATTATTATGAATATATATACTACTTTTATAATCACATAGAATATTTTTTCCCCAATGGATTCAGCTATCTGTCAGAAAAGGCAGAGAGGAAAACATTCAGGATTTGTGTGATTCTTATGATGTGATAAAGAACTAGCTCAGTTCTTCAAGGTAAAATTTTCCTTGATTCTAAATTCCAAAACAGATTTGTTATAAAGTGTAGTGTGACACCACATACATATCTTGATGTGGCTCTCAGAGCAATTGCATAAGAGAAGGTTCCTTGTGACCATTTCAAGATTGTCCCCAAGAAAAGCAGAGGGCAAAGCCGTGGGCATGAACCTGCCCAGGAATTTGTACTTCACTGAACTTCTACCTCAAATTCTGCATTAAGAATTTTCAAGAACTTGAAAATTTCTACTTTGTGTGTGCGTGTGTATGTGGGTATATGTGCATGTAAATGCACATGTGTGTGCATGCCAGTAATGGGGTTTGTACTCACAGCCTGGGCACTTAGTCCTATAGGCTCAAGATTGGTGCCCTAACACTCAAGCCACTGCTCCACTTCAGTATTTTTGGTGATTAATTGAAGATAAGAGTCTCACAGACTTTTCTGCCTGGGCTGGATTCAAGCCCCAATCCTCAGATCTCAGCCTCCTGAGTAGCTAAGATTATAGGCATGAGCCACCAGTGCCCAGTTTCAAGGGCTTCCTTTTGTTCATTGTATTTGATCCTAACCAACTGGGAGAAAGGGGGTACTGGGAGAATCTGCATCTCCAAATGAATAGGCTTCAGCTTGGCTCTCCTCTTCCTTCAGGTGTTGCTGCACTGGATTCCAATGTATCTGGAAAAATTGGTCTGCGTGCTGTGGTATATTACTTCTGCACAACCATCATTGCTGTAATCTTAGGTAACACTTGTTTCTAAAGACTTATTCCTCTACATAATTGTCACTTTTTTATTCAAAAAATAGTCAAGCTTTTAAAAATGCAGCTTACCCCTAACTATTTTGTCTTGAAATTGCAATAGCAGCTTTAATGTGAAAATACATTACTGACCGAATATTAGCCATCCATGTCCATCTTAAAGTCTCAAGGAATAACTAGAAAGTGAGTGACAGTGCTTTTCCTTGTCAGGATCATTAAGTAGAAGGAAGTGACTTCAACAGCTTATATATTCTGAAACCAGATGATTAATCTATAAGAGTAAAGAGGATTTATAAAATAAAGTGCAATTGTAAAATATTGCCAGTAAGATAACTTGCCAGTGCCTTTCCCATTTCACCAAAAGCTAATGGCTACAAAAGTCTTGGAAAGTCTAAATTTCATTGATAAAGGGGACAGTGTTCTATAAGGGAGGACTTGCTCTTGTACTTTAAGCCTGGTTTTGTCAAGAAAGTTTGGTCCATCCTTTGTAATCTCATAGGACATTTTAAGAAGGAAGTCCAGAGTGGGGAGAAAGGAAGCAAATGTGCTCTGATGTTGCAGCTAGCTTGATCCATGCAGCCCTGCTTTAATGAATTGATAAATTTGAGGATATGGTTTGATGAAGGCAAAACCAGATATCCTCAAGAGGTTCCTGAGATAAAGAAAAAGATGAGAAAAGAAAGATACTGCTTTATTATCGGATGGCCTTATATCCCTTCTGTAACTTTGAGATCAGGAAGAGTAGACTTCCTATTTGTATAGATAGGACTAATATTCTCTAATTGCCCAGTGACTCTTCCTACTAGCAGAAGACAAGACCCATACTACACTCCAAAGTCCTAACTCTGGGATTAACATTTCCCTGTCTTCAGATTTGGGGCACCTATCTGGGGTGGGAAGTGGCTTGGGGACTTTTTTCTTTTCTTCCAGTTAAATAATCTCCGAGGCCGGGTGCTGGTGGCTCACGCCTGTAATCCTAGCTACTCAGGAGGCTGAGATCTGAGGATCATGGTTCAAAGCCAGCCCGGGCAGGAAAGACCGTGAGACTCCTATCTCCAATAAACCACCAGAAAACCGGAAGTGGCGCTGTAGCTCAAGTGGTAGAGCGCTGGCCTTGAGCTGAAGACTGAGGGACAGCGCCCAGGCCCAGAGTTCAAGCCCCACGACCGACAAAAAAAAAAAAAAAATAATCTCCGATGCCCAAATTTCTCCTATAACTTCACAGAGCCTCAAGAGACAAGGCTCCATTATTTCCATAAGTCCCAGCTGGGCTTCAAGACGTAGACATTTCTTTAGTGTAGACCGTTTTTCTTGTGACAGTAAACAGAACCAAACTTCCCTGTGTCTTCATTCCACCCCCTGGAGGACACTTTCCCACATGAGGGCTTTCGAGATAGTTGAAGGCCTAAGATATGGAAAGAAGACAAGACAAGGTTTGCTAGGGGGACAAGGTTTGTTCTTGGGAGGAGGAGAATCCATGTGTAAGTGTGACAGAAATATATCAAAGAAACTTCCAGGGGTTGGAATATGAAGAACCTTAATTCACACACCTACCCATAGATCAAGATACATCACATTCATAAACTACCATGTTGAATTGAAAGCTTTTGGGTACAATTACTAAAAGATCATTTTATTTTATTTTATTTTTTGTTGGCCGCGGGGCTTGAACTCTGGGTCTGGGCGCTGTCCCTCAGCTCTTCAGCTCAAGGCTAGCACTCTACCACTTGAGCTACAGCGCCACTTCCGGTTTTCTGGTGGTTTATTGGAGATAAGGGTTTCATGAACTTTCCTGCCTGGGCTGGCTTTGAACCACCATCCTCAGATCTCAGCCTCCTGAGTAGCTAAGATTACAGGAATAAGCCACTAGCACTGGGCTAAAAGGTCATTTTAAAGAAAGAAGAAAGCTGAGTGCTGGTGGCTCACACTTGTAATCCTTGCTACTCAGGAGGCTGAGATCTGAGGATCGAGGTTCAAAGCCAGCCGGGGCTGGAAGAGGCTGAGATATGATCATCACAATTCAAAGCCAATGCAAGCAGGAAAGTCCATGAGACTCTTATCTCCAAATAACCACCAGATAACTGGAGGTGGAGCTGTGGCTCAAAGTAGAGCACTAGCCTTGAGAGGAAAGAGGGACAGCATCCGGGCCCTGGGTTCAAGCCCCACAACCAACAAGAGGAAAAAGAAGATAAAGAATATTGAAGAAAAAGAAATCAAGGATGAAACAATATTTTTATCAGCAGGTATTTCCAGAAGGAGAGCAGGAAGGATAAAAGAGAGGGAGGAGGAGAGAGAGAAAAGGAAATAGAAAGATAAATCCTTCTGCTTATTCGTTTCAAAGAAAAAGTAACTAAGGCAAGCACTAACTTCTGAGCAATAGGTCAGCATTTTGATTGGACCTCAGGGGCCCAAACATTATCTGTCTCTACTTTGCCAACTGGTTCCAAGATAAAACACGTTGGGTGCCATGGAAGGTTCCTAATATTCTTTGGATACTGTCCTTGGTCACAGGTATTGTGTTGGTGGTGAGCATCAAGCCTGGTGTCACCCAGAAGGTGACAGAGATCAACAGGGTAGGAAGCACTCCTGAAGTAAGCACAGTGGATGCGATGTTAGACCTGATCAGGTGAGAGACTTGCTGACACATGACTTCCTGGGTGTGCCATCTGTGTAGTTTCTTTAAGGCTCCATACCTGGTTGAATGCTCTGATGTTTCTGTCCTGAAATGTGTCATTGGTTATATCCTATAGTGCATCTCCGTTTGCCCTAGACCTCTCAAATTATATAGCCAATAATTTCTGTTTGCAGAACCATAGCTATAAGAAAAATGGGGGAAAAAACAAGCTCCTATGTTAGGATTTAAGATGGACAGAGACACAGGAGGTGTGCTTGTGTATAAAGATGCTGCAATGGGTTGGATGATAAACATACTTGGAGAAATTCATTGAGTTGTGTGGCAGAAGCTCTCTTTTCTAAAGCAGCCAGAGCCAGAAAGAAGTCAGTTCAATGAAAGTAGCAATTAAAACAGAAACTCTTAAAAATGCTATAGGGTAACACATGACATATTTTTCTTCCACTTGAAACTTAAGTGCATTTATTCACCAATTTTTTCAATATAGGGCCATTGTTTTTCTTTAAGTATGTCAATTCATTTTCATTTCACCTCATTTCTGCTGGAAATACTATCCTTATGAACATGTCATCTACAGCTTCCAGATTTAATTTCTATAAAATAGAACAACAAAACACCTAAGCTGAGAAAACTAAAAAACAAAGGAAGCTAAGTGCTAAATTCTTCCAGTTTTCCTCCCCATTTCAATTGTCTTCTCCTACCTGATTTAACTGCAAAAATTTTCATCACTGGCGTTTATTGATTTTCCAGGCATTCAGCTTAATGTGTTTTGTTTTTGTTTTGTTTTTGTGTCCGTTGTGGGGCTTAAACTCTGGGCCTAGGTGCTGTCCCTCAGCTCTTCAGCTCAAGGCGAGGGCTCTACCACTTGAGCCACAGCACAACTTCTGATTTTCTAGTGGTTTAGAGGAGATAAGAGTCTCATGGACTTTCTTGCCTGGGCTGGCTTTGAACTGGGATCCCTAGATCTCAGCCTCTTGAGTAGCTGGGATTACAGGCGTGAGCCACCAGCACCCAGCTTCAGCTTAGTTTTTAGTAGAAAGCAAGCCTTCTTTTTCACATTCAGATTTCTTGGGTTTACATAATGTTTAATTCGGCAATCATGATGAAACTTGCCATCAGTATTATGAATTTGAGAATTCAAGAGCCTGTTGTGTGAACATGTTGCCTCATTTATGCAAGCAGAAGAGTGCAGAAAAGGAAAGAATTTCTTCTTGACTGTGAGTGTCCAGCTTCTGGTACAGTCTCTCCTTGAGAGCAGCAAGTGTGTCACTCAATTAATCACTTAAATGATGGTTGATTAAGAGAGTTTTCCATACTCCCTTTGGCTCAGCAGGAAATCTTAATACAATATTTAGTATTTTAAGTATTAAGAATTGATACTTAATATAAGAGTTAATCTTAATATAAGATTTAATAGGAAGTATTATGCAAAGAAGAAGCTAAAAGAGAACTCACAGCACTCATTCTATATTATATTAGTATTATAATACATATAATATAGTATCTCTATATAGTGCATTCTGTGGTTCATATTGTATAGATCATTCTATAGTATGTTAATAATATAATATTCTACATATATATTATATATAGTATTTTCAACATATTATTCTATACTGTATTATGTTCATTTCCATTAATGTACTTAGTATAACAAGAAACTGCTTTTTTCCTTAACATGACAATGCTTTTCATGTCTCCAACAGGAATATGTTTCCTGAGAACCTTGTCCAAGCCTGTTTTCAGCAGGTAATGTTAATGACTTTTGCCCATGATTTGCTCCATTCTTCCCATTTCTGGTTAAATAACTTTTTTTTTCCTGCTGAGAGTCAAGAAATAGAATTAACTCATCACCTGTAAATGGCAAAGTTTCAGGCGATGCCTCTGTTTTATATCCCAGATTTTCCCATGCACAGTAAAGTGCCTGTGATCAGTTACTCTGCTCCTTTTCCCGTCATGCATTTACCCTTAGAGGGTTCAAATAGGACAAATTAGTCATCTGAAACCATGGGTGTTTTAAAGCATACCTTCTCCACTATGAAAAGTAAAATTGTTTACAATGTGGAGCTCCAGGGCCTATGTTAGAAAGCCTTGGTACATTGGGAAAGTTCTGCAGATGCAGGGCAGTGGATAAAGGGCTTTGCATCTCCTCTTTCCTGTCCCTCTCATGGTGACCATTCCTATTTGAAGCTGCGCAGTGTAGCAGATGCTCCCTGGATTCAGTCTTGTCACGATGTGCCCATTGCAGGCACTCTGCAAAGCCCTGACTTTTTCCTTTAGGACTGTGTAATGCCCTCTTCACTCTCCTGACAAGTGTTTTTTTTTTTCTTTTACTTATCTATACACTTTAAAACAGCTGAGTCTATCACAAACTGCTGTATTCATTTGCATAAATTACAGGGACAGAGACCTCTGTGTATACCAACCAAAAACATGGCAATTATATTGCACAGTAGCACCTCTATTTCACAAGGCCCATTACAGATCAGCCACAGTGCTCATCTGTGAGGTTTTCAGTGTTCGCAGAGGCCTGGGGGGGGGGGGGGGGACCTTGATGCCTAGTGTAATGCGACACTAGCTCTTTCTTAAACCTCTGTATGGGAACCCCACAGAACCAAATAAGGCTTAAGGAAGAAAATTCAACAGAAATCTCAGTGACGGAGTAGCCCTAAAAGGACTGTTGATTTCGGTACAGTCCTTGGAATTTAATCTTTCACGGTATTTATTACATTCACAATGATCCATTGGGCTTAATCGTGCATACCTATAATCCTACTTACTCAGGAGATGGAGACGGGAGGACCAAAATTCAAGGCTGCCTGGGACAAAGGTAGCAAGCAGCAAGACCCTGTCTCTGACAGAAACAAAAGTACACATGGCTTAAGTGCTAGAGTGTTTGCTTAACATGTCAGGCCCTACACTCACCCCCCAGTACAGGAGGGAAAAAAAGTCATAGTGTCTGCTTTAGCAAAGCAATGAAGTATTTTCCAGATTAAAAATAGCGAAAGTAAAAGTGATGGACAAGAATCTCTATAGGTCTGTCTGGGTGAAGTTATTGACAGACAAATCATTATTTTCTCTCAGGCTCTTTCTCCATCATTTGTTCCTCATGATGAAAGTGATGGAGCACCTGGCATGGAATGGTAGTGCTGAGAAGCAGGGGTTTCAGCATGCCAATCCCATTTTTAATTCCCCAACTCCTCTCAAGGGATTCATTACCTTACTTATGTAACTGTAACCCCTCTGTTCAGCATCTTTACAATAAAATAAAATAAACCAAACTAACAAAAACAAACTTAGAAGCAGCGGGCACTGGTGGCTCACACCTGTAATCCTAGCTACTCAGGAGATCTGAGGATGGTGGCTTAAAGCCAGCCGGGGCAGGAAAGTCCATGAGACTCTTAGGTCCAATTAACCACCAGAAAATGGGAAGTGGCCCTATAGCTCAAGTAGTAGAGCACTCACCTTGAGCTGAAGAGCTAGGGATAGTACCAAGGCCCAGAGTTCAAGCCTCATGACCAACAAAAAACAAATTAACAAAAACAACCTAGCAGCAGCAGAAGCACTGTAGGTAGAGCCCGGTGGTGTTATTTGTTGAGCAACAAAATCACATCCCTTTAGTCTAGTCCCAGAAGTTTAGAAAACTCTCTTTTTTAAACTCTTTTCAAAAATCTAATTTTATTATGAGTAAGTAGTTCTACAAGGAAGTTGCCATTTCACAAAATGGTTGATGAAACAATGCATCTTGATCAATGCCACTCCTCACAATATTCTCTCCATCCCTCCTCACCCATCATTTCCTCACTCTTCTTACGTTTGTTGGATATACATTGAATTCTTAACTGCAATCCTCCTTCTCCTCTTCATCCTCTGCTTCTCTCCCATTGACCCTACCTCACCCCTTTCAAGTACCTGCTTCCTGTTTATTTTGTTGAACTTTGACTTTGCCTTTCCAAATGATTATACTATTGGAGTTCTCCCTTGAATCTACCAGATTTCAGTGAATACACTGGTATATATTTGTATGCCACCTAATATATTTACTCACATATTTATAAATGAATTCTAGTGTCCACATATGAGGGACAACATGCAATGGTTGTCTCTCTTGGCCTGATTTCACTTAATGTTACTTTGTATTCCAGATCTTTCCATGTTTTTACAAATGATGCACTATCATTCTTTCCAATGGATGGGTAACATTCCGTTGTATATATTCCACATTTTCTTGATCTCTTCTGTCCATTGAGGGGTGTTATGGCTGATTCCATACCTTGGCTATGGTGAAAAGTGCTGCAGTGAACATGGTTGTGCTTGTGTCTTTACTGTTTTGTTGGCCTTTTTCTCCCATGTGCAGTACAAAACCAAGCGTGAAGAAGTGCAACCTCCCACTGATCCTGTGAGGAATGTTACAGAGGTGTCTGTCACCACCACTAGGACCACACTGGCCGAGGTATGGTTCTGTTGCCCACTCCCTTCCCCTGTAGGTGGGTCAGTCATGAGGAAGCAGAAGAGAGAAAGACAGTGACAGAATCCACATGTATAAATTCATATCCTCACTAAACCTTATTTGCAACCCCAAATCAATACTCAAGTATTTTCAAAGTGACTCACAAAGTGTCTGTATTAAATATCCAAATGTTCTCTGTGAAAGTAAGAGTAGTAAACACCCCAGTGTTCTCTGCCTTCATTCAGAAAGGAAAGGCTTGCCTTGGGTTTAACCCTAAACACTGGGGGCAAAAAGAAAAAGAAGGAAGGAAGAAAACCAGAAATGGTGGGGGGGGTATCCATATATATGACTCTTCAGTGGACTTCTGAATTCATGTTTAAGTTGAGCATGGTGGTGCATACTTGTAATCCTAGCACTGAGGAGACTGAAGTGGAAGGATGTTGAGTTTGAACCTACCCTAACTGTATAAGACCTTGTCTTGAAAGGAAGAAGAAAGAAATAAAGAAAGAAAGAGAGAGAAAGAAAAAAAGAAAGAAAGAAAGAAAGAAAGGAAGGAAGGAAGGAAGGAAGGAAGGAAGGAAGGAAGGAAGGAAGGAAAGAAGAAAGGAAGGAAGGAAAGAAGAAAGGAAGGAAGATAGATTGGGTCAAATTAAACAGGCCATGGTTGGCTTCCTGCCTGCTTCCTATTCCAGAACTTCTCCAACTTCTCCTATGGTCAGAGACCCTCCATAGCATCTTTTTTCATTTTCTCAGCTTACTTCCCAGGGAAACCCCCTCTTCTATCCCAATCTGCCTTCTCAATTGCATCTTATTCTTGCCCTCCGATGTGGTTCCACAAATACTTTCCTGAGCACCTTCTATATGCTAGGGCTTGCTGAAAGACAGATTTGGCATCTGTCCCTCATATGAAGGTAGAGTCATGAGAGTTATCCTAGGAAGAACTGGGAAGCATTTAGCAGAGGGGTAAGTCAGTTTGGAGGTGATAAAGGATGAGTAAGAATTACTCAAACAGATTATAAAGACCCAGTCTGCCATGCCTTTCACTTTTGCTTAATGTCCTTGTGGCACATGCTTTGTCTCCTGGCTGCCTACTTGTCAAGCCTAGCTTCCCCAACCTTGAAGCTTCATGCATGTCCCAGACTCTGTGTAAGGCCTGTAACTCATACCTTGGCTATGCAGGTAATTGTATGCCATCTTGGTTTTGGCTCTTCTTTCTCACAGGCCTTAGTCGGCTGTTTTTTATGTTGTATGCATCTATGGAATTATCACAATGAATCCCCTCCCTTTGCACTCTGTGTGTGAGTGTGTGTGTGTGTGTGTGTACCTTGTGCTGTGGTCAATACAGTTAAAATATTTTAGTGGAGCTGAGCGCTGGAGTCTCATGCCTATAATTCTAGCTAGTCAAGAATCTGAGAACTGAGGATTGCAGTTCGAAGCCAGCCTGGGCAGAAAAGTTTGTGAGACTTTTATCTTCAATTAACCACAAAAAGCCAGAAGTGGTGCTGTGGCTCAAGTGGTAGAGTGCTAGCCTTGAGTACAAAGAAGCTCAGGCATAGTACCTAAGCCCTGAGTTGAACCCCCATGATTGGCCAAAAAAAATGTGTATATATATATATGTATATATCTATACATATATATGTGTGTGTTGTAGCTGTTCCACAAATATTAGTTTCTAATAAGAAATAAATGGTATCTCAGTGGCTTGCCAACAATTCTTTATATACCTGGATTGCATCATTCCTGTTATCTCTTAGTAAGTCCTATGCTGTTTTTACCCAGGAAAAAGTAAACAAATAATTCATAATCAAAAACATTTGAGCAATTTTTATCTTTTTTGTTTGTCTTCTGGTGCCAGTCCTGGGACTTGAGCTCAGGGTTTGGGCTTTGTCCCTGAGCTCCTCTTTGCTCAAGGCTAGTACTCTACCACTAGAACCACAATGCCACTTGTTTTTTTTTTTTTCTGAGTAGTTTATTGGCGATAAGAGTCTCATGGGCTTTCCTTCCCTGGGCTGGCTTCAAACTGCAATCCTCAGATCTCAACGCCCTGAATAGCAAGGATTATAAGCACAAGCCACCAGCACCTGGTGAATTTTTGCATCTTTGAGAGCAAGTTGGTCATAGTAAGCCAGAGGCAGTAAAGAATATTCTGTGTAAATTATCAGGATAAAACAGATGGTAAAATGTCCTAAAAATGTTGACAGTGCTAAATATTTTGTGCTTCCTGCATTATTAATGCCAATCATTTAAGAAGACAGTCTCCAAATGCAGCTAGTATTTAAAATAACCCTAAAAATTGTCCTGATTCATACAAAAGTGTAAAACACTTCTAGAATAAGAACGTTTCAAGAGAAATATGGACTTGTTAAGAAAAGGGACAACACAGTTAAACCTCAACAGGGTGGAGGGCTGAGCAGGGTTCTACAGGAGCAGGTATTCTTTTTTTAACATTGGTATTGTCTTTCCTAAAGTATTATTGACTTTGTGGCATCGCTGTAATTATATTGCTGCTTTGATATATTTTCTTGGCTTTTAATCCACAGAACAAAACAAAGGAATACAAAATTGTAGGCATGTATTCAGATGGTATCAATGTCCTGGGCTTGATTATCTTTTGCCTTGTCTTTGGACTTGTCATGGGAAATATGGGAGAAAAGGGACAAATTCTGGTGGACTTCTTCAATGCTTTGAGTGATGCTACTATGAAAATTGTTCAGATCATCATGTGGTGAGTACTGTTTCATGTTATTTTTCTTCCCTTACAACCCAATCATCTCAAAATTAGAAGAAGCTGACCCCTTCTTAGAGAAGGTAGCAATTGAAAATCAAGACATTGGTGTATTAAATAATTTCATGTATAGCTCAGGAGTCTGATCTGTTTATTAGAAAAAAATCTAGCTGTCAGCCATTATCTTTTTTTCCTCTTCAAAGCCCTAAGAAATCCATGTTGTACTCAACTGGTATCCATATGCCTCACTGACTCTAGAAGATGTGATTTAAAAGAGTTCCTTACGAGTCAGGACAGCAATGATTTTGCTGTTGGGCCCCAAGGCAGAAAGGAGATCCAGTATAAGTACCAGTTAATGAGTACTTAGGATGGGAGAGAGGAGCCTAGAGAAATGACTAGAAGAATGAAGAGAGAAGCAGGGAAACGCAGGCACGAATTCATTGTCTATACCACAGAATTGAGAAACATAAGGGAAGGGGTCGAAGGATGAGGTGAAGATGTTGAAGGGATGATACAGGTTAAGATGCATTGTCTACAGAAATGGCTTGGCCAAATGGCAAACAAAATACATAGCCTAAAAATTAAGGAAAAGTGAGAGAAGAGGTAGGTTGGGAAGGGTGGGCAAGAATATTGAAGGGGGCGATCTTAATCAAGAGGTGCTGTATTCATAAACTGCTTTGTAGAATGGCAAAGTAAAAGAAAGAAATGAGAGTGGAAACATTTCCAACTGTTCCCGCATGGGCGCGAAGTCATCTGAATGCAAGGCACTATCAGAGCAACACCGGGACCTGTTCCTGAGAGGTCTCAAACTCCTTTATTTCACATGGAATTGGTTGAGCATTCTGTGATCCAAAGGGAAGACATTGACACAACTATATAAAAGGTTCAGCAAGCTGATCTCCAGTGGGTCACACCTATAATCCTAGTTACTCAGGAGGCTGAGATCTGAGGATCACAGTTCAAAGCCAGCCCCTGCAGGAAAGAACGTGAGATTCTTATCTCCAATAAACCACTCAGAAAACTGAAAGTGGTGCAGTGGTAGAGTGCTGGCCTTCAGCTGAAGAGCTGAGGGACAGCGCCCAGGCCCAGAGTTCAAGCCCCATGACCAACAACAACAACAAAAGGTTCAGCAATAACAGCCTGGAAAGTGGCTTAATCCTACAAGAACATCAACTCCCTCATCTGTTTTTTTTAAAGGATGATAAAACTTATTCCCAGGGTTAAGTAAAATGATGCATGTAAACTATTCTCCCCAAAGCTACTATGACCATTCCCACTGCTACTACTACTACTGCTGGTGTTGCTTCTATTGCTGACACCTGACATACAAGAATGTCCAGGGCTAGAAAGGGCTTGGCCTCCATGTTTTGCAGAAAAGGCCAAGTGAGATAAGCAGAGATAACAATGGATTGCATGTATGTACACTGCCTGTGTATATGTATGGCGTGGAATATGCACCCAATCTGGCCATGCATTCTTGTTAAGTTTCCAAGTTCCCCTTCACTTTAGATGGGTACAACTTAAGGTCTATGCAAGATTCTAAAGCCAACAATCAGCGGTATGCTCAGGACTCCAAACCAAAACCTTGGCTTCATGCTATGCCCTTTCCTCCTTCTAGCTGAGTACACAGGCAACACTAGCTTGCCTCCCTCCCCTCTCCCCTCAACAAATCCTGAGAAACTCCCTGATAACACAAGTGTATCTCTGATCTGCTTACTTTCCAGTTACATGCCATTGGGTATTTTGTTCCTAATTGCTGGGAAGATCATAGAAGTTGAAGACTGGGAAATATTCCGAAAGCTGGGACTTTACATGGCCACTGTCCTGAGTGGGTATGTCTAATTCAAGAGAAGCAACAGAAACTTCACTGGATCTACGAAAGAATTGTTTCTGGAAAGGCTGGGGTACCGCTGGTTTTAAAGGTTTTAAAGAGTTCAGAGATAAACGCAGGCAAGCGGGGCTGCCCTTTAACAGCTGTACTGTAGGTGGATCGTGCTGTGCTAATTGCCAGCTCCTGGCAGAACTGCCTGGTCCAGGCTTTGCCACTGTCTTTATTAGTTGTATTTAAATCATTTAAAAGAAGAGAGAAACCTACTTGTAGTCTCTTTTGGCTCTCTCCTGCCCTTTATTTCCTCAAGAACATCAACTAACCAAACAGATAAGAATAGCCCCCACGTACCTGCAGGTTGAAATAAATTACCAAGGGTGAAATCATGAAATTAGACTCGAGCAAGTAGGAGTAACAGAGCTGATTGGTTCAAACTCCATTGCTGCTGCCATGCCCTTTTCGATCAGAATGCCAGAGAGGGTTTGGGGAAAATCATCAGGCTTTAGAAGTCATAAAATAGGAGAGCACTGGGCATGAGTCACTGGCATATTTCTTACAATCTAGTTATTGGTTCCTTAAGAAGAGATGTGGGGCTGGGGGAGAGAGGGGCAGGGGAGAGTTTGTGGGTAGGCTATGAATGGTCCCCCTAGAGACCAAGCCAGGGGCAGAATATGTCATATAGACTAAGAAATGTGGACTAAAGGAATACATCATCATACTTATTTGATTCCCAGAGGTCAATTGTCCAACTTATGCTCGCCTCTCACTTATTGGAACCTGCTGGCTTTAGGAACGTTTCCACAGCACAATGCTGGCACCAAAGCATAGCCATGCCACCCCACACAGAAGCAGCCTGGGTTCGTACAATGTGAGAGCCAAAGCCAAACCCCAGGGTTATAGATGCCAGAAAGGCAGAGGCCTATCTTGCTGTGGGGCTGCTGGGACAGGCAGGACTGGAGACTGTGTCTGGGCACCGGTGTGGGTGAACTTTGTGATACTGAGCCATTTCATCATGGAGTTCTTCTGGTTTTTCCTCTCATCCTATTTAGGTTTCTAGCACAAAAGCAAAAGCTCTAGCTAAGAACTCACAATGTTTAGATACCAGCTCTGTACTGGGACTTCAGGACTCATCTTTGCAATGACTGTTTCTTATGATCCCAACCTAATATAAATGATCTGTACACTGTGAGGCATCCCCTCATACATACATGCCCTCCTATTTTGAGAAACCAGTATAGCTCTGTGTAAAACAGAGAACAGTTTGAGAAGGCAAGAATAATGAAGGAAAGAAAACCAGTCCCGAATGTTGACCTTGAAGAGCAGAGACCTTTTTCCTTCTGCACCTTTGACTTCTGTAAACAGAGGGCATCATGGTTCAGGGGACCAGCAGGGGGTGGGGCAGGGGAGTCGCTGTGATAAATGTTGTAATGGTATACTGTGATTGGGACAAAGATGGTCCCAAGGAGGAAAGGAACTGCTGTACTTGAAAACGTTTGAAGGAAGGCTTCATGGAGGAAAGGAGAGGTATAGCTGAGTCTTGGAGGAGGATTAACAATCCAGCAGCAGAGCTGGGCAGGTGTAGTGGCTCACACCTGCAATCCTAGCTACTTGAGAGGTGGAAATCAGAGGGATCAAAGTTTGAGAGCAGACCAGGGAATAAAAGTTCAAGAGCCAGCTATGGGAAATGCACAATGACTGAGTGCAGTGATTCACACCCATCATCCCCAACCACATGGGGAGACCAAAGTAGGAAGATCACAGTCCAGGAAGGCCTAGAGCGAGACCCTACCGGGGAAAAAACCAACATGACAAGGGGCTGGACATGTGTTTCAACTGTGAGGCCCTGAGTTCCATCTCCCATACCAAAACAAATCAAGTGTGAGGTGTGAGACAATGGTAACGTCTTTGAAACCATGTATCTCTTTCATTACAGGCTTGCAATCCACTCCATTGTAGTTCTCCCACTGATATATTTTATAGTTGTACGGAAGAATCCTTTCCGATTTGCCATGGGCATGGCTCAGGCTCTCCTGACCGCTCTTATGATCTCTTCCAGGTAAGTAAAAGATGACCTTCGGGAAAAGACCTCCAGACCATACTCTATCAACTCTCCCTTCCCCTGATGAAGCAGATCCTAGCTTATGTATTTTGTAGCTACCTTTGAATGATGACCTCCATATATTCTGTCCTCGATCTTTGAACACGGTTCCCTTGAATACTTCCCTGCCCTCTTGGCATGTTCTGCAGCTAGGAATGAGTTTTAATGTAACCAGAGTCAGTGGTGGGTAGATTGTTTTCTGATTCCTAGACTGACCAAAAGTGCTGACCAGTATGCTAATGGGCCCTTTGGGTTTTTGTTGTTTTATTTGTGGGGTGTGTGTGTGTGTGTGTGTGTGTGTGTGTGTGTGTGTGTGTGTGTGTGTGTGTGTG